CATTTGATAATGTCACTGTCAAGGGCACGTGACTAGGATTTGTTTTATGAAGTGATTTTTTTCGGGTTTGAAAGATAAAATATTAAAGCGGCCGCCAGTTATCTTTATAAAGCTGCCTATTTAAATTTTAAACCATATACATGTCGACTAGAAATCATATATATATATTATTCGTCACTTTAAACTAATTACAACACTACAAATCTATTACATTTATTGAGTATTATGTAACGTGATGTGAATATTTTAAACGGGTAATATCCTGTCCAAACCCTGGATACATAACATGAAGACTTTGTTGTAACTTTGTATAAAAAGCATTAATATACATTAATATATATATATATATACATATATGTTAATGTATATTAATGCTTTTTATGTCATTATACTGTATATAACAAATAATTTGAGTGGCAGCCGCTTCGATAATCGCTCTGTTTAACAGCGCTACCTCAAACTATTTGTTAAATAAATATAATTATTATAGCGGTGAAACATTAAACTTATTTATTAATATTAAAAATATTATGCAATGTATGGGGTGGGAAGTCTCCCTTCATCACAGCCCGCTAGTTTTGCTGTTTTACTGCCTCTTAATATGCTTGATCGTGGTCAGTCAAGTTAACCCGACGTTTTAGAACCAATAAAAACGAATTATGCACAAATAAGAACCACCAGAGAAAGGATGATGGAGTCAGCAGATTTGTTCCCTTCGGCGTGGTTATATGAGTCTGAAGACTGACTCAACTCGAGAGAAGGATTTCATAGTTGAGAGTGTCTGATTCAGTTTTCACTTCTGTTGAAGATTCTGCCAGGACTTCTGAAATCAAGTTCTGAGTCACCAGAAGAGCTGTTCTTCAGACTTCTTCTTGAGTGCTGTGACCCCCCGCTTCCTACACCCCTGCTGTGACGACTTCACGTTAATTTGGCTTTGTGGTTTAACTCATATGCAAAATTCCTAGATTTAAGAGAGTACAGTGAGTAACCGTAAACTATCTCAAAATGTAAAAATCTGACGATTCTCAAACTCTCCTCATAATGTCACATTGTGATCATCCTTAACACCCTGTGGCCATTCTAGGTATCTTTCCATTGCTGACTCCCTCTCCGACCATTGATACATTTTGAGATGGGGACATGATCTGATATTTGTGGGGCGTCAGATTGGGGGAATCCTTGGAAATCCTTATAGTGGTCGGTCACATTACTAGACAACTGCAACGGTTAAATGCATAACTTTTTCCTCCGTTCCATGCCACCAGATGGTAAATTAGCCACTTAGGTTTCTCCGACCTTTATAGTTCACACTCTTTATCTGCACGGCTACAGTACTCTTAAGATGTGGCTGACACAATTTTGATTATACCAATTTGATCACCAGAAATCAATTTCTTTGATTACAGAAATTTCACTATTTATAATTGATCGCCAATTAATTCACCTGCACAAAATTACGGTAAGACCTCTGCCTAAATTTCCTTCAAATTGTTTCAAAAATATAAACAACATGACAGCTAAACAGTTATGACGGGTTCTATGGTCGTGGTGCATATAACGCTAATAGCACCCCTCACGCGTGATAGTACCCTGAACCTTCTGCGTGAGAAGGCGCTGTCTAAATTAATAGATATCACGGTGCGTATATATATGGAGCCGCTAGAACACAATTATTGCTTGATACTCTTAGACGTGTATTGATCGGGGTTCAGCGCCAATTTGTAACGCATCGCTTCCATTAGGGATAAGAGGTTACTTCGAGTTTAGGGGCAACCATTAAATTGTCAACAACTTTAATATTGCACTATGCAACTTGCATTATTTTATAAATCCGACTTTGCAGTATAAGTAGTGCACTGAATATTTCAAATTAAATAGGGTAAATACTAAATAGGGTGAGTTACAATCCCTCGACTGATTTGATACACGATAGACTAGGCCGAATATTAGCGTTCTTACAAATTATATTCCTAGTAGTAGTAGTACTAGTAGTAGTTGTATTATTCCTAGTTGTGTTATTCGTTTGGTAGGTTTAAAAATTAGGGATTCGGGCTTTCCAAAAAACAATGTGTTGAAGTTCACCAAAGTTCGTCATTTTACAATTTAGAGAATCAAGCCATGAAAACTATTTTTCACGATATTTATTTTTGAAATGTAACTTAAGACATAAACAATACCAGCCAAAAGATCTTGAATTTTTGGCCACCGATTTCATGTGTTAAAAACAAGAAATATTGCAGTACTTGAAATCCTTTTAGTTGAAACGAATCCAATTTACCGCTATCAAGACAATTCACGAGTTGCACAATTGCGATTTAAATGTGCATGGCACAACTGAGAAAATATTGTACATTATTTACGATACAAGCTACTCTATTTTCTTACAAATATTTAAAAAAAAAGAAAGAAACTTCCTCCCTTAATTATCGCCTAAAATAACCCGATTTTATCCCAGATTTATGCACCATGTTTGAACTATCTGGATGGAGATCTTACTACACGGCAAACGGGATCCTCACTACAGGGGAGTTTCTCATCGGTACCAGCCTCAACCTCATCTGCCTCACTTACTTTCTCCGTAAACGCTGCTCCGCTATAAACCTCCTCTTTGTGTTCGTCAGCGGAACCGACCTGGCTCTCTCTTCCATCATGCTCTTCTCTGCCATATCCGCCTTCGCAGAGGGGAGACCCCTCATGTTTGAGAACAAGCTGTTCTGCAATATCTGGGGACTGATCTGGCATACAGCCTGTGGGTTCTCCATTTATCTGATGGCTGTGTTGGCGATAACTCGCTGGCTCGGCCTGGTTCACCCTTTGAGGAGGATAAAGAGGAGGTTCGTTGCTGTGAGCATCCTCATCTACCTGGCAATCCAGATCTTCAAGAGCACCATGAACTATTGGTACATGGAGAAGGCATACAGCTACAATCCAGTATTTTTGGGGTGCAGTGTCAACAACATTAACACTCAAAATATCACAGTTCTCGACAAGCTGCTCTACACCTTTCTCTACATATTCGAAGTTCTCTTACCAGGAATCCCTGCCATCGTTTTCTCCATAGCAACATTCGTAAGCCTCCTTAAAAAGGACAAGAACCTCCAGAGCAACAATGGGGCACCCCTGTCTAAGAGAGTGTCACCCAATAGAAGATGTACAGCAACCAGCGAGATGGAGGACCCACTACATGGACACTCGGGATGGGAGAAGAAGAGAGATGCAACAATCACCATCCTGATCCTTATTGCAACTTACCTGGTGCTCAACCTTTGGTTTTGGTTGTTGACGCTAGGGGACGCTTTCTACATATTTTCTGATAAGACTCTGAACTATACCACCATCTGGAATGGTGACGTGAAATCTTACTACATGACCTACTATGTTATATATATTCACACTGTTGTACTAAACTCAGTAGCCAATGCTATTATATACATTTTTAGACTGAAGGGTATTAAGACTTATATTATATATATGTGTAAATCTGGTAAAAAAACTGAAGTTTACTCGAATAGAGCTGTGTTGAAGAGAAAGCCAACCGCTATGTCTGTTTTCTATCGAGTCTCAATTAATAATGGCATTAATTCTGGCTCCACTGATGTGGTGCCCTAGGAAATGTATAGGGTTTTGTTCTTTTAGCTTTAATATTTCTTATTTTGTGAGTATAATTATTAAGGATGTTACAGATGGAATATATTTAATGTAGTTCGAAGAGTCTTGATCCCCTTCACGTCCTTCTTATATGGTCGCCGGTTTCTGGCCTAAAAAGCTCTATTCGCGTTCAAGATTAGCGTTTCTTTTGTCTATATAATAGAAAATAAACTAAAATACTAAGATATTGTAATAAGTGCATTAATTTCGGCTCGCGAGAGCGTAAAAATAGGTATTGACCTAATAACTCAACAACCTGAAGTCTGTAGACTTTAAAACCATGATCTACCCCACTCAATAAGATAATGCTGACCATTTTTATGCCCAAGATGAGCCCTTATCTCTCATCAGAAGCTGAGATATCTTGTAATAAGTACATTAATTTCGGCTCGCGAGAGCGTAAAAATAGGTTTTGACCTAATAACTCAACAACCTGGAATCTTTAGACTTTAAACCATGCTCTACCCCACTCAATGTAATGATGCTGACAATTTTTATGCCCAAGATGAGATTTAAGCTCCCATCAGAAGCTGAGATATCATGAAATAAGTGTGGCAATTGTTACTCGCGAGAGCGTAGAAGGGCGTGGTCACATAACTTATCAACCTTAAGCATGAGGACTTTAAAACCAGGTTCTAACCCCCTAAATGTGATGATTCTAATCATTTTCATACAGTTGATATAGTTGATCTCCTTTCTCCGATCAGAAGTGGAGATATGTGGGTTTAGATATCGCGAAAGGGCCAAAAAAAGGGCGTGATCAATTGCACAAAACTGCCCCATATTGAGAAAGTCTACCCAAACCAAATTTGTTCCTTAGGGGTCCCTTGAGCCGTTCCAGGTCTCAAACCTCGGGGCGGAAGACGTTTCTACTGGAATATTCTCAGATCCTTGATTAAAAATATCACCTTCCTTCTGTCCCATTATAATCTTGATAAGAGTGTTTCAAGGTTTTGCACAGACTTTATTTTAAACACTTTAGAACACATTGCACATAGATGATTGTATTAAAAATGGCAATGTGGCTTAAAAATATTCATCTGCTGAAAATATTCATCTTACACTTAAAATACTGATTTATTGGATAGCTCCCTTTAATATCTTATCTTGAAGTTGAACTTATATTGACTATGTATTAGATTTTCAACTTGATTGATCAATAGACTGTTTTTTCTAGCTCCTAATTTCTTTGGTATCACTACCACCTTTTCATTTTGTAAAATAAAAAACCATAAAGTAGAACACGAATTGAAAGTATCGGCAACTAGAACGAACACCGATGCAACAATAAGACAACATTAAGACACCAATAAGACAACATTAAGACATTAAAAAGTATGATATTGTAGTACCTGCGATCCAGTTGATGCCCATAGACTTGGAAGCTTCCAGGCTCTGATTGTTAAGAATCCGGTACCGATGTCCCCTGTGGATAAATTAGTGAACACTTGTCCAACTTTACTCATGATACATCCCAACGGAAACGATCGAACGGTTATATATACATGTCACATATGTGGTGCATAGAATAAGTTCATCAACCGTTCTGTGATATGCAATTTATATATTAAATATCAGCAGGATATAAACACACTCTCATTTCATTTCATCATGTTCAGTTCATTTCATCACGTGATTAAACCTGAGCAGATCAATGGCATCAGAGAGGCGGTCCGTGTCTGACTTCAGATCGGGCACGTACATTAGGATCTTAGAGAAACAGTAGTCCTCCACTGCCTGGTTCGCTACCATCAGCTGTACTTTCTCCGCATCTGCGTAACCTGGAGTGTGACTTATAGAGGGGTCATGCATATTGCATACTAACTAACTATTTGGGGAGTAATTACTTACGAGTAAATACTGAATCTCAGATTTGGTATTCATGAACCTCGAGTACGAACCGCACCAAGTAAGAACCTAAGTACCTACCTAAGAACAAGACGGCGGTATTTGCAAGCCCGTAAAACAAATGTGTGGCTATATCTGTATAGTGTATATTAGGACACAATGAAACTACCGGATCACGATGTATGGGGACTTGCCACCCTATGGCAATATAAATTGTACGGTGTATGCTGTTACTTAGATTAGTGTGCTTTACAATAAAATATGTTTCAATTTTCTTTTTGCCTTATACTGAGTAGACAATTGTTCGCATTAACAAATTTGCTCACATCACTCTCGTATGAGCGGGATATAATCATTAATTAATACCTTAAACTTCACTACATTAAAAAGTTATAAAAGAAAACTTTGGTCTCTTTTATTTAACACACTGGCTCAATCTAAAACATTCTACGACATTCAGAAGCTGATTTATTTGCGGAGAATCAATGTGGTAAAAAGTGGTAATTGTGAATTTTGCTGAAGTTGGAAATTTTGGGAAATATTGGAAAGGATTTCTGTGACCTGCTCCGACCATTTCTCGTTGAAATCGCTTTGTTTCAAATTGTTGATGACAAAACGATGTATTCGACTGTACTAGTTGGTACTGGTTAAATGAATGATACTTTAAATCGTGAGACAATCTCACAATCTGAGTATGAGTTTAATTTTATGCATGACCCCTATAGATATACCTTAATTCCCAAAAATTTGGGCGACAAAAAATTTGAGCGGGCCTCTCGCCCAAATTTTTTGCAGACCAAATTAATTGCATACATCTTTTCCGTCTGCTAAATTTTTTGCTAACCAAACTTTTGGCATTTGGCCTGTGGCCCTGAAATCTATAGAAAGATGGCTTTTTCTTCATATCCAAGTGAAATAATATTTGAAATTTTAGTTTTCTAATCTGTCATTCATGGCTTGACCAAGTAAAAAGGCTTATATTTTAAATGAATAGAATTAACTGGAATAGCTAACATCTACTAATAAAACAAATGGCTAGAGGTACGGATAGCTAGAGATTTAAACAAGAGCTGCAAATGTATATCTATCATTTTGTACTGTGCCATCATCACCTTTTTTTTAGTAGTTACTGGGCAGATCGTAAATTTCATAATGTGAAACAACTCAGACTACCACCTACATGCTTAAAATTGAAAGCAAAATGATTGAAATAATAAGGAATAATAATGAACTAAGGCAAATATCTAACTGAAATTTTATTGGAAAATCGTTCATTTTTCGAAGAATTTGTGCCCAAATTTTCGGTCGCCCAAATGAGTTCAAATTTTCTGCCCAAATTTTTCGGGCTCAAATAAATTGTGCTCAATGTAATGGCACACAAATTTTTGGGAACTAAGGTACTAGATATAGATTATTATCAGCAATTGTAGAATTCTTTTAATGATCAAAGGTTGAGAAATACATGGGTATGTGGGTATGGGGTCACCCCCCCCCCCCCCCCCAATAATTTCCACATGAACCACAAAAAGGCCAAGGTGTAAATTTCACACTATTAATAATATCACATTTTGACCGGAAGTATTGAAACAAGTTGGATTTTTCATGACTGCGCTCCAAATAAGTACTCTATTCAATGAACCAAATTCTGCGAATTTTGAAAACCAGAAACGTGTATAAATATAATCATATTGGTGGGGGGAGCATGATCTATTTGTTTTGACGCGTGACAAAAGTCGACCAATCAGTGCGCAGTACTCAGCAGCCGACCCAATCACAGTCTCAAATCACAAAGCAACCAATTTCCTGTCACCTCCCCGACAATTGCAGTCACGTGAATAACCAGTAACCTCCTGCACAGCGTTTACTTGCAAGCTCTTGTGGCCACTTAACTGTGAAATATAAATCACACACGTACCTTCGAAGTAGTAAAATGAGGAAGTTAAGTTAAACAACATTCATTTAAAAATAAATAAACGTATATTTAAAAATATCGTCTGCAAGCGTAAATTATAATCAAGAATTTAATAGCGCTATCAAAGTATCAAATATATAAAAACTAACCAAGATATTTGACAAATGTAAGCAAAGATTGGCTGTCTTTGACCATTATATAGTACGACATAAGATCAATATGTTACATCTATTAATTTCGAATTTACTCAAAGACATTTTAGGAACAAAGCTTTTTTCGGTGGATTTATTGCCTGTCATGTTTATTATGATTTCCGGGATAAACCGGCAAAAATTTGCAGTTTCTGATATTCGTCAATGGTGAAAATGGCAAAAATTTTTACAAATGGCAAAAGCTTTTTATCTCTGCATTTGCAATGGTATGTGTGGTATTTGTGCCGGGCTTTGGCTGTCATTTTCCTGAGGTGCTAGTATCCAGAAACCATTATTTCTGCTTCCTTTGCTGATTTGAGACAGTAAAACTACATATAATATTATAAAGTTAACTCTCACTTATTAGTTTTGTAACATTAATGCAGTCAGGATCAGGACCTCTCCACTTCTTGAGAGGTTTCTATCATTTTTGAAAGTGGTAACACGCTTATACCTGGAGCTTAAAGCACGACACTACCATCATCACACATTAGGTGCTCCACCCCAAATTTAATCAATTTAAATCAAAATTTGCGCAGTATAAACAGCACAATTTAAACCACTTTTAACCACTCTGCCCAACACTACTTACCCACTTCATATAGTACTTCATATGTGGTACGCAAGGCTATTTTAAGTTTCAACTAAATACTGATTCGGATAAACGGTGCGAATGCCTTTACAACCCATCAAATACGTCAGCAATTCCTTTTTAAGGTCGACCATTCGACGATAGTTAAAGCATTGAACGTGATGTTAAATCATTTTCAAAGTGGTGTAATGTCTAGACGGAACGATAAGTTATTCACGAGAGCGATAACTGGACAGAATACCCACCTTCTATTTACTGATGCAAAAAATTGTATTGGACGTTTAACCTTCATTTGCTGTCTGATTGCGGGAAATATTATTCTTGAGAATACCTTCGGTGTAAAAGAACATGCCGATAGCATCAATCTTAGCTGCTCTACTCTGTATCTCCAGTAGACACTTAAACGCTACTAGCATCTTCCACTTTCGTGTTCCAAACAACGCTGGTTCTGAGGGAGTGATTTTTTTGAGCAACTTATTTTAATTATTGTAGTAATGAGTCAATTTTCAATGTCATGATTGGTATTTGAAAAAAGTTGTTCAACAGATAGGTAACACAGTTGTAAAGAACCGCAGACCATCAAAAATTAGCGACATAATGCCCGAGGAGATCCCGAATAGGTCACTTTTATATACCTTACCAGGCTGCATTTGAAGTTTGAACGGACATTAATTGGACGCTAGTGGCCCTAGCGTTCATTTTAATGTCCATTCACACAATATCCAGTCAAATAACGCGCGATGAGATAATCAAATAAACCCGTTTCTCTCTTACCTTCGCTAAAAGTATACACAACTGATTGCACAAGTATCTCCATTACTTTGGTGTAGAATGAGTTCACATGTAGAGTCAAGTTGTTGATGGCAGCACTTGTTGAAGGGGGAACTCTTATTTCACGGAACTTTTCGAGAACATCCTGCAAATTAATTGCGTCTTGGTTATAAAGATTTTAAAATGGGCATAACTCGGCTAAATTTTTAATAATCAACGTTAAATTTTGGGAAAGGTTTTCGATTATCAAAGCGAATGTGTCTAGAAAATGTTAAGTTTCTAGCTCAACGCGTTCTCATTTTATTATGAAAATAGTGTAACAGAGAAAGTCTTGGTTTGACCAATATCTATAATAATATCTATAATCTTTTTATCTATAAAATTTTCATGCAATTGCCAATTTTTACACGAATTACGTGAGTTATTGATAATATTGAAGGGTTGCATGTGGGCAGTTATTTCTGGGCCACTCTGTAGTAGTTATAAAATAGTATAATAAGCAACTTGGCTCCTTCTTAAACTTTATTTACGGACAAATTTTACACGGTTATCGCATAAGTATCTACCTAAAAGTAATGAATTGATTATAGTTCACTCGTAGTAACTTAGTAACTAAGTAACTTAGTAACTAAATAACTTAATATGTGAGAAAAAACAGGTCTGAAGTGGTCGTAGTATGAATAACAGTTGGCCAATACTAAATAAGGAAACGAAACTTCAAACAATCTGTCAACTGACGTAACAGCGAAAGGCTGGTTCGGTTGTCTGGTTGTCTGGTTGTCTACGACTACACATATGATTTACTGCGGCCGTTTTTGTCAAAACCCTGTTTTACCGCGAACGCCGATTGTTTTCACCCAAACTCTGCGGTAAATCAGGGTTTTACTGTACACATATGTGACTAATGGCTATATAGTTAATTAAATGCACAACATAATTAAGATTAAATAAAATAATTGAACACAAGATAATTCTAAATCCAGCTATAATCTACGATACGTCCAGACACCTGATATAGCCAGTTTCTTATCCAGATATTTTTCCTCACTCACAAGAGTGCAATATAAAAACGTAGACTATGGATCGAGCGAGGTACCCATCACTGCAGGGGTGCACGCTTATACTTATACTACGCATCACTGAAGGGGTGCACTCCAATGGATTTTGCCACGTCACTTTCCAGATCCGAGCCGACGCATGTTGGCTTGGCAGAAGCGTTTATCCCCAAATCAAGGCTAAAACCATTGAATCATAGACCCTGTATCTATCACAGCTCAATATACAAGCAGGAATAAATGCAGTGTATAAAGGATTTGTCTCGAGAGGGATTTAAACAAGCGACTTCTCGACAGATTTTCCTAAACTACAATTGTCACAGCATTGCGCCGACAAATAATGTCAAGCAGATTACATTGTGGTTGCTATGGTAACTCACATCTCTCTTCTGTAGAAAGTTGAGGCTGGTGTTGCTTACAGATTATATTGTGGTTGCTATGGTAACTCACATCTCTCTTCTGTAGAAAGTTGAGGCTGGTGTTGCTGATCTGAAGGTTGTCTGTCTCGCTCTCAACAAACCCCTTGCCCATGGCAGTGTACAGGATGTATTCTTGTGGGTTGGTTACTGTCAGGTATTCTGGAAATCCTGTTCTGTACAGCTCGTTTATCCTCTTGTCCGTTTCAATCTGTGAAAATATCTGTGAAATTGTTATTCTTTATCATATTATGTTTATAATATGAATAATTTATTTGATATCTCCAGAGAGTTTTTCTAGAACCTGTTTTTCTAGTACCACCTGCATAAATTGGTGGTTGAGATCCTTGAAAATGACGACTTTAATCCTTTTAAAGCAGTTACCCCGATTTAGGGTTACTTGATTAATAGGGTTAAACTCTGGTTATAACAATTATCATCGCGCAAGTAGACGAATAATTTGCATTTATATAGAGAATTTTAGACCGGCGTAAAATCTGCACCGTGGCGGGGGACATTTGTCAGATAGCAAGTAAAAATGAACACGCCTGAGGCCACCAAAGGAAACAAATTTTTGGCCCATATTCACTATGGGGGGAATGCAACGTCAATTAATGTCAATTAATGTCAATTAATGTCAATTAATGTCAATTAATGTCAATTAATGTCAATGTCAGTTTTGCAAAATTTTGGAATACTGACATTAATTGACACGATATTTTTCGACCAGAGATTATGTAGTTCTACCATATTGTTAGCACTTTAGAACGTTTATATCATCAATTTATTCACTACTATCACATATGGAAATGTGAAATGTGAAAAAAATTCAGATCATTAAACAATAAAACTAAAATAATACGGTTTCCCGAAATTTAATTTTCTTAAATGGGCGTGGCCATCCAAGGGCGTGGTTCTCAACATCATCAGAACTTAAAACCCACATTAAACGAAATGCCTTCATGACATTTATATTTGAATAACGAATCTTAAACAGCTAACATTACTCCTTCATACTAAAAAAGCCGATTCTAAATATTTTACCTGTATAAGAAACCAATAAAATATGGGCGTGGCCGGTGGGGACCGAAGAAGGAAGAGTTGGAAGCTGAAATTTTTTTTGGTGGTCTTTGAACCTAAGGATCAACAGATAAGAACATACTCATAATTATTCAAGGACATTTTGTTTTTTTGAACCGGTCTAACTTACATAGACGTGAATATCTTGAATATTTATCGAATAATGATAATCTCAAATTTCAAGACATATTAATGTCAATTAATGTCAATTAATGTCAATTAATGTCAATTAATGTCAATTAATGTCAATTAATGTCAATTAATGTCAATTAATGTCAATGTCAGTTTGGGGTTTTTATGGAATACTGACATTAATTGACGTTGCATCACCCCCTTCACTATAAATTAAACATCACTGCATCATGAGTCAGTAATTGAAAGGATGAACCACAAATATAACAATGTTTTCTAAGAAGATTTCAACTTTCATCTTAATACGGTAGACCGCATACCTGGGCATGCTGAAGTTTGTTGAGATTCCCATGCGAACGATCCATTACATACTTGAAGGTAAAGGACTGTTCTCTGAGGATTTCTGTCATTAAATTACCAATCTTCATGCCTGAAAGGGTACGTATTGCTTATTATATTATATTGCAATAATACGTATTGCTTTCTTGATTAGAATTTCAGCGCATACTTTTGGGTTACTTTGTCGCATCCATTAACTGGTAATGAGGATTTGCTCATCTTGATTATTGATTCTTAAATGTTTTCTACTTTTTTTTTCTCTGTTCTCAAAACTTCATAATCATAAGATTTTCTTGTGTACCTTGTAATATTCGCATCTCGTAACGTTTGACTTCAGGACTGTGGGAAAGAGCTTGATACACATCGAATCCTGAAAAGGAATTCAGTCATTAACTTGATAACTCGAACTTAAGTCGGCGTAATTCCCAGACAATATCGATATGTCATTTTGGCTAAAATTAAATTCACGGTGCACTTTGATCTCGACAGGTGCCTCCCACTCAACTGATTTGAGGAACACAGATGGTTTCTCAACTTATACCCATATATTTGGGTTACTTGTCTCATAATTACTGTCTCAGAAAACCGGATTTATAAATACTCTGTGATACCGGATAGAAGTCTGGATGTCGGTGGGAGGGGGGTTTGGATTTTTAGTAAAATGGTTCCTGATAAAGCCACCTCCCCTCCCCCTCTCCCCCTCCCTCCCCCATACCGTTTAAACATCAGTTAACCGGCGATCTAACCTTTAATTAAACTTCATCCGGTTTAACACCTTTGACGTCTGCATATTTTAAACACCTTTCAAGAATCAGACGCGTATTATCTTAATCAGAAACTCCCAAACAATTTATTTAACAGGAAGTTTAACACGTAGCTGACGTAGTAAATAAGTATCAATACTGTAAATATTAGTCAGCGTCAAACTCCAATCAGTAGGTATTTGACAAGCAGTTTAGTAGGGACGATCACCTAAATCTGAGCCCAAATATAGTGCCGGAATTCACTTACCCGCGATATAGTGTCAGTATTCACTTACCCGCAATATAGTGCCAGTATTCACTTACCCGCAATATAGTGTCAGTATTCACTTACCCGCAATATAGTGCCAGTATTCACTTACCCGCAATATAGTGTCAGTATTCACTTACCCGCAATATAGTGCCGGTATTCACTTACCCGCAATATAGTGCCGGTATTCACTTACCCGCAATATAGTGCCGGTATTCACTTACCCGCGATATAGTGTCAGTATTCACTTACCCGCAATATAGTGCCAGTATTTACTTACCCGCAATATAGTGTCAGTATTCACTTACCCGCAATATAGTGCCAGTATTCACTTACCCGCAATATAGTGTCAGTATTCACTTACCCGCAATATAGTGCCGGTATTCACTTACCCGCAATATAGTGCCGGTATTCACTTACCCGCAAAAAAGTGCCGGTATTCACTCACCCGCAATATAGTGCCAGTATTCACTTACCCGCAATATAGTGCCAGTATTCACTCACCCGCAATATAGTTCCAGTATTCACTCACCCGCAATATAGTGCCAGTATTCACTTACCCGCAATATAGTGCCAGTATTCACTCACCCGCAATATAGTGCCAGTATTCACTTACCCGCAATATAGTGCCAGTATTCACTCACCCGCAATATAGTTCCAGTATTCACTTACCCGCAATATAGTGCCAGTATTCACTTACCCGCAATATAGTGCCAGTATTCACTCACCCGCAATATAGTGCCAGTATTCACTTACCCGCAATATAGTGCCAGTATTCACTTACCCGCAATATAGTGCCAGTATTCACTTACCCGCAATATAGTGCCAGTATTCACTTACCCGCAATATAGTGCCAGTATTCACTTACCCGCAATATAATGCCAGCATTCACTCACCCGCAATATAGTGCCAGTATTCACTCACCCGCAATATAGTGCCAGTATTCACTCACCCGCAATATAGTGCCAGTATTCACTTACACGCAATATAGTGCCAGTATTCACTTACCCGCAATATAGTGCCAGTATTCACTTACACGCAATATAGTGCCAGTATTCACTTACCCGCAATATTATAGTGCCAGTATTCACTTACCCGCAATATAGTGTCAGTATTCACTTACACACAATATAGTGCCAGTATTTACTTACACGCAATATAGTGTCAGTATTTACTTACCCGCAATATAGTGCCAATATTCACTTACACGCAATATAGTGCCAGTATTCACTCACCCGCAATATAGTGCCCGTATTCACTTACCCGCAATATAGTGCCAGTATTCACTTACACGCAATATAGTGCCAGTATTCACTTACCCGCAATATTATAGTGCCAGTATTCACTTACCCGCAATATAGTGTCAGTATTCACTTACACACAATATAGTGCCAGTATTTACTTACACGCAATATAGTGTCAGTATTCACTTACACACAATATAGTGCCAGTATTTACTTACACGCAATATAGTGTCAGTATTTACTTACCCGCAATATAGTGCCAGTATTTACTTGCCCGCAATATAGTGCCAGTATTCACTTACCCGCAATATAGTGCCAGTATTCACTTACACGCAATATAGTGCCAGTATTCACTTACCCGCAATATTATAGTGCCAGTATTCACTTACCCGCAATATAGTGTCAGTATTCACTTACACACAATATAGTGTCAGTATTCACTTACACACAATATAGTGCCAGTATTTACTTACACGCAATATAGTGTCAGTATTCACTTACACACAATATAGTGCCAGTATTTACTTACACGCAATATAGTGTCAGTATTCACTTACACGCAATATAGTGTCAGTATTTACTTGCCCGCAATATAGTGCCAGTATTTACTTGCCCGCAATATAGTGTCAGTATTCACTTACACACAATATAGTGTCAGTATTCACTTACACACAATATAGTGCCAGTATTTACTTACACGCAATATAGTGTCAGTATTCACTTACACACAATATAGTGCCAGTATTTACTTACACGCAATATAGTGTCAGTATTCACTTACACGCAATATAGTGTCAGTATTTACTTGCCCGCAATATAGTGCCAGTATTTACTTGCCCGCAATATAGTGTCAGTATTCACTTACACACAATACAGTGTCAGTATTCACTTACACACAATATAGTGCCAGTATTTACTTACACGCAATATAGTGTCAGTATTCACTTACACACAATATAGTGCCAGTATTTACTTACACGCAATATAGTGTCAGTATTCACTTACACGCAATATAGTGTCAGTATTTACTTGCCCGCAATATAGTGCCAGTATTCACTTACCCGCAATATAGTGTCAGTATTCACTTACCCGCAATATAGTGCCAGTATTCACTTACACGCAATATAGTGCCAGTATTCACTTACCCGCAATATAGTGCCAGTATTCACTTACCCGCAATATAGTGCCAGTATTCACTTACCCGCAATATAGTGCCAGTATTTACTTACCCGCAATATAGTGCCAGTATTTACTTACACGCAATATAGTGCCAGTATTCACTTACCCGCGAAGAGGAGCAAAGTGATCAGGGGAACGGACAGGAAGACGGAGGTTCTGTAAAAGACCTTTTTAGCGTCCGTGTCACTGAACTTTTGTGGGAGTGCTGCTAAATCCTGATCCATGTCTGGTAACATGACGTCAACCTGAACAGTATTACAGGTTACATGTGACCCTATGTGATCCTGTGTGATCCTGTGTAATCCTGTGTGATCCTGTGTAATCCTGCGTGATCCTGCGTGATCCTGTGTAATCCTGTGTAATCCTGTGTGATCCTGTGTGATCCTGTGTAATCCTGTGTGATCCTGTGTAATCCTGTGTGATCCTGTGTGATCCTGTGTAATCCTGTGTACTCCTGTGTAATCCTGTGTGATCCTGTGTAATCCTGTGTAATCCTGTGTGATCCTGTGTAATCCTGTGTAATCCTGTGTAATCCTGTGTGATCCTGTGTAATCCTGTGTGATCCTGTGTAATCCTGTGTACTCCTGTGTAATCCTGTGAGGGATGACTATTGACTAGCGAACAGAGCTTATTTGGCCAATCAAGTTTATTCGATTCAAAATTAAAAGTTAGACATTTAAATCGTTTTAATCCGACCGCACACAAAATTTCAATTTCGATTAGTTTGCCTTCAACTCAAAAGTAGATGTTGCAGGCCGCAGCCGGGTTTAGAACAGTTTTTCGGAGAAAAATCCGTCCGAAAATTCGTCGTTATGAAGCGATATGCCGGAACACGATACAGATTCCCATTACTCAATAAAACATCCTGTGATCTTATTGACTTATTCTGTGTTATCAGACATCCTTCGGAAGGACACGGGGCTTGACGACAGCAAGGAGATTAACAAACTCATGCTGGATAGACAGATTTGGAAAAAAACTATTTCTGTTCGGACGTTGAAGCCGCCCTAAGTCGAGTCGAGTAAGTCGTGTGTTATCAGGCTCAGAGGATCATGGGACCTATATGATGTGTGGTCTCGAAGTTATCCTTCGGATTCTCGAATGCTTGACAAGTTGACAGGTCATTAAATGATTACGTTATCTTCCTTGAACTTAACGAGAGAGCTTCAAACATTTGAAATAAATTTTTCACCACAGCGCCTTTATCCCTGTTACAGACTTTAAAGGTATGATTGTCATATCATGATAAGTGCAGCCCAACTACCAACTTTATAGTCTCGTTTTATAGTAAACGCAATACGCATTAAACAAAGCCGTTTTTCTTTATAGTTTCGAGTATACACGATATGAGCCATAATTCAATATACATTGTTCAAGAAGTGTTCACAAAAAATTCCAATTCCTGATTCCGTTTTGGTTCGGTTCAGTAAACCAATTAAGTTTGGAATTAAAGTTAATGTTTATCACTTCTATTCCGATAAAATATTCCATAACCATGAGATAAATAATACATATTTGCTGTAAAGCTAAACCTCTGGCTCTGGAAAGACAGGCTAAGCTGGCATCTCAGTAAAACCACAATAATCAAACCGTAAGTTGTATCTCTCTGATTCTAACCTGAGTGAGGTCCTTGATATTGTTGTTAACTCCGCTGACACTTCCAGAGTATCCACTCTGCCCTCCCGAGTACACTCCCCCTCCTACCTGAAATTAACAATAAATTAACATTCAATTAACAATCAATTAGCCTCCCGGGTACACTCATACCCAACCTGAAAATAACAATTAAATATAAAAAGAAAATAAGCGGTGCTTTTACACTAAGAAAATATACGTGATTTGTACTTGTAGGTCATGGGTGCAGTTCTGGTAGTTTACCCTACTTCTAACTCTAAATTTATAACATTTCTAATATTCTGGTAATTTAACGTCGTAATTATCTCAACACATTTTGAGAAATTATTGTTTCTCTACGACACAATTTCAAACAATCGAAGAATCGTTCCAAATTTCGAAATAAACCCTTCCAAAATCCTTTAATTTGGTCGTAAAACCACGTTTTAAATTTATACTTGACCACATTTAAGTTTAAAATACCTTTAACATGTATTATACGAGACAACGAGGGGTGTCTGTGCCTTTGTGGTTAATTTTATGAAATTGAAATGCTGGTTCAAATATTTCAAGTACTTCAAGAATTTCCGCTAAAGATCATTTCAAGTGGTCTACACTCTACACCATGCTATTAAAGTTTTATATTTTTATAGGCTGCTTATGGACTGTTCATTTACTCGACTTTAAACAGGGCCGTCTCGGGTTGGCTGAGGTATCTAATGGGTTCAGCGTATAATCGACTTCATATTGCATTCTATCAGAAATACTTAAAGATGCCATTAGATTCCCCGGGAGGATAAGTAATATCGAACTATCCACCATGCCAATACCATAAAATGTATTATATAGTATTTTTATGGTAAATTTATTATTTTTAATTGCTTGGTACGACTGCGGTAAACATTTACGTAAATACTACGTCAATACATGACCTCGAACAGGAGTTGTCATGCTACTCTTAATAATTATTGCTGCGAATAAATAAATTTAATCGTGGCAAAATACTGAATCGTAGCGCAACACAAACATCTCCCCTAAATAATATTACTTCAACGTGTCAGAATATAATTATAAAATCAACCTTGTCGTCAATATGTAAGTAGATTTGAATCTCTTTGACTAAATAAATAGATAGATGTCGAGCTTGTGAATTATAAAGTTCCCAATATTGTAACGTGCTCAACTGATATGGCATATATCAGTATAGTATATGTATACTTGCTCCTAATAGTAATACATACCAGTGATATGTTTAAGGAGCAAGTATACCTATCCGGACAAAGCAAACGAAAATATTTATCCAATTATCAGTTCCATGTGTAATGAATTATCTACAATTAAAATAACAATAACAATTACAATATGATAGAGCGCTTCTTTATTTTATAAGGAGCACTATGTTATATTTGTATTGTGTGTTTCCAATACGCTACAACCCAATTAATTAAAGTTCCTGGTAAAAATCAATAGTTTGAAATATACCACTTATAATCAGCTAAAATATTTAAACAGAAATATACAACAATTATTACCAATGATTTATTAATTAATTAATTAATTGATGGTTATGATTGTTGTAAATTACTGTTTTGTGCATCAATCAATAATTAATTAATCAAATCATTATAAATTATTATAAAGGATTATAAATGATTATGAATGATTATAAATGAACAATTAAATGATTATAAATATCCTACAAAACACAGACCTTGTTCATGTTAGAGGAGTACACCCCACTCCCGACAGGTCCGCTGCTGGGATAGTTTCCCAGCTGGTGGATGGGCTTTATACTCCGCCCAGTCAACTGCAACTGACTGCTTTTACTGGACGCTGAACCACCACTGAAGATTTGATAATTACTTAAATAATTAATATTTTAACAACTCAATTATTAATTAATAAAATTACAGTTCTGGACACAGTTCCTAAAAATGATCTAAGATGGATGGAATGTTTTAGAAATGTTAGTTTTGGATGTAGCAGATTTTAGTTTTACGTAGACTTCATTCTGGAAAGTTCGTTACATGAGCTACACTGTGTTATGTATTCATGAATACCGATTGTTTTTAATGAACCTTTTGCTCAGCAATTATACCAAATTCTAAATATGTGTTGGCGCTTCGAGCCACAGCCTGAATTTCAAAAAATTGTCGGGGTAAGGACAAAAGGAAATTGCGGCATGTGCGGAATCGCGATTTTTTCAGTTCTCCGTGACAAATGCATATTTTCCTTTAAATCTGAGGACCAAATTTCACGATTTCGATAAGTATATGAAACAAATCACATCCACGAATGTAGGTACGGACTTCAGAAAACCGAAAAAATACTTTCGGCTCATAATGGGTAGCATGAAACATAAACAAAAAAGTTTCCAAGAAAATTTTTGACTTAGAAAATGTTTTGTTAAAAAAACAAAAAAATATTTTCTGAAGGCAGAGTTCCCGCTTCCGAGCTCCTTTTGCGAAGATCGCATTACAAAGGGGAACTCTCGAGCCCAAAATCGTATATCGAAGGGGTTGGTCAAAAGTAGTTTCCAAGAAAATTTTTGACTTCGAAAATTTTTTGTTAAAAAACGAAAAAATATTTTTTTCCCAAAAATTTTTAGAAACCTAAATTTAAAAGTTGGCCCTTTTTGGCCCCCTGCCCAGATTTCATGGGGGGCGATGCCCCCCCCCCCTGCTTCCTACACCCCTGCTAACTAGTTCACGCAGTTGTACTTGTGTTAAGAATTTAAGAACTTGTTACATTTTATAAATGATTAATGAACTTAATAGCGAGTCTCTAGCTATGATTGCATACTATCTATAGGTATGAGATAATGTTAAAGATGAATCGCAGATTTACTTAAATTTACAATTTAACTTGGTCTTGATTCTGACAGAGACCATCCCTGCAACTAATTGGCGATTTTGTGCACCGTTTTTTGTCATCTGCAAAATATGCCCTCCAGATGCTATATAATATGTAGTATTGAATCAAAGTCAGAGACTCGCTATTTTATTGAGAGTATCTTTAGCTTTGTAGCATTGACGAGATATATGTCGCTTCTATTCTCGTATGATTTTTATTTTTTAAAATAGCTCAAAATGAATTTTTTGCTTTTTTTGTTACCGTAAGCTATTTCGATTTTAAGCTATATTTTTATCATTTTATTGGTTTTTTTCTTTTTTCTTCCCTTTTTTTCAAAAAACTTCTTTTACCTTAACAAAAAAACAAAAAAATGTTATTACCCCTACTTAGGACGTCCGCCAAAATCTCGGATTTTCAGTCCACCCTCCCCCTTGTCCGAATTTTCAAACCCCCTCCCTTCCGGACTTCCGGATTTTCCTAGGTTTATGAGGTTCAGATCCTTGATTTTACTGTGACTATAGTACTCTCAGTTGAAGTTGGGGCTTGGCACGTTATTATATCAAAGAAAATGAAGCCACCACCCTGTTCTTCATGCTAATTTTGATGTTCAGCTCCTATCATCTCTTTGACCAATCTCAACTGACAACTCTATAAATATCCCTTACCAGTTACCACTTTTGCTGAGTGCTTTTATTTTAAAGAGCTTTTATTTTAAATTACCATCATTTATAAACCAAAACCACAATTAATGAGGATTTTAAGTTTTAAATTTATTAAAAAATAGACTAATGTCGCCGTGTGAGGTACTATACACCATTTAACTACACTCAGGAGTCAGGTTAGAGTGACTGACTTTATCTAATCTTAAGTGAGAATATTATACCAGACCGAAGTTGTTGATTAAAAATTTTTTCTACCACCAAGTCCAACAAAATAGAAAAATAAATATTCCTAACACCATACTTTATTTAGCTGGATTATAGCATAAGCTGTAGTTACTAATTAGAGGACTGCAAACAATGTTTCAGTTTATTTTCATCGTTAATCAAATTTTAGCTGTGTTTAAGCCGATGCCCATTAATTCCCATGCCCATTTGACCAAACGTTTAGGAGTAAATGGGTATGAGGTTCCCCCCCCCCCCCCCCCCCCCATTAATTTTCACATGGGCCACAGAAAGGTCAAGATGCCAAGTTCACTCTATTAGATTTAATATTGCATTTTGGCCGGCAGTATAATCGAAACAACTTGATGGATTTTTCGTGACTGCGCTCTAAAAAAATACTTAATTCAGTGGACCAAATTAATTTGAAGCAAGTTTCATTGGGGTCGCAAGTACTAAATTGTATGAACCATTGCAATTTCCATCAAACATCCTCTATAGTCCCAACCACTTTCAAGTAATTTAAATACAATAATCGTAATGTAACCACTTATCTAACTATCTAAAAGTTCGTACATCCCTGCTCACCAGTTTTCCAAGCCCCAGGTAAAGCCGAGGAACTCACCAGTTTTCCAAGCCTATAGTACAGCCGAGGAACTCACCAGTTTCCAAGCCTCAAATACAGCCGAGGAACTCACCAGTTTCTCAAGCTTCAAGTACATCCGAGGAACTCACCAGTTTTCCAAGCTCCAGGTAAAGCCGAGGAACTCAACAGTTTTCCAAGCTCCAGGTAAAGCCAAGGAACTCACCAGTTTTCCAAGCTCCAGGTAAAGCCGAGGAACTCACCATGGTTTTCCAAGCTCCAGGTAAAGCCAAGGAACTCACCAGTTTTCCAAGCTCCAGGTAAAGCCGAGGAACTGAAGGAATCTCTGGAACCAGGGTAGGATGTAGTCTCCTCCCCAAGAGTCGTTCTCGTGGGCTGCTTCTTCGTCTCTGTACCTAGGATGGTAATAAGTTACCAATTTCGAAACTACTGTTACCAATGGTAACTACTATTACCAACAAACTGCTCACTGTTGTTACTGAATATTTTTATGGCGGTTGTTAAAGACTCTTAGTCTTATTGGCATTATTTATATAAACAGTGGTGAATTGGATACTTTTTCGGCCTCTGGAAGGAGTAGATGAGACAAAAATAAACTTGACGAATCCATAAAATTAAAAACACAGCAATACGACCAAAGTAACCCAAATAGTAAAAACACAGTAACCAAGGTAACCTAAGCACACGTTACCTTCTAGTGATGTGATCATTGACATTATCCCGCTCGGTCTCCGGACCGAGCACGTCCGCGTGCGGGTTAACCGCGCGCACAGGCTGCGCGTTCACTGCGGGACTCATCCAATGGACAATAGTTCGTCAAACTCCGATTTAAAGATTCAAGAATACAGTATAAAACGGTGAATAGTAAGGAAACTGATAATCTCCTGCACTTCAAAGGCAATAGAAATAATATGCCGTCACTGGAGAAAGCAATAATAACGATATTGGTCCAGTAGCTGTCAGAATCGGTGCGATTAAAGTGACAATATAATTATAAATAGACGTCTGACAAGTTAAATGCGTCCGCTGAGGGGAGAGTAGGTATTTGAATTTTGCTACAATTTACAGACATTATTATCCTTATCATTAGACTCTAGTAATGCTGATAAACCTAGGATTAATTTCAAAAGTACGACTCTTAGTTCTGGATACAATTGCCCACGCTAACGGCGAGGAGATTGATTTCATCCGGCAGTGCTAATTAATAACTGGTTTACAAAAGATACATAATTACATGAATATAATGATATATAATGAAAACCTTGTTCAGCCTGTATTGGAATATATAAGTAAAATAAAATTAGGATAACCCTTAAGCAACGTGATGAATTAAAATATTGCTGCCTACTTGACAAAATCGAAGCAAGCATGGTTTATGAATACTGTTTGATAGGTCTAGTTCCTGTCTATTAGTGCTTTTCATGCAACAAGTAAAACAAATCCTTTATGTCATGTTTCCAGGGTTTGGACTGGAATTGCCTGCTTAAAGAACCTCCATCGCATTACATTACATAATTTTCTCAATAAATGTAATAGATTTGTAGTGTTGTAATTAGTTTAAAAAGCGAATGACTATGAGAGCAAATTAATGAGCGGGGCCGGCATCACATGGTCCATAAAGCAAACAGAAACGGCGTATGATGATAAAGTATATGAACTACACGAGAACAACTTAACTGTGCTTTAGATGCCCGGCTACAGATTACCGATTTTCCCCTCGCCAGAAAACAAATCAAACACTGTATATATAAATTTGGTTTTTGGGCCAAAATTAAATTAATATCAATTCTTAACAATGGCTTTCTATTAATTTATAATCGTTATAATAATTGGAAAGAGAAATAACAACTTCGTATAAACAGTAAACACATGCTGGTGTAAGATTACGATGCATTGCCACAGGCAACTGTGCAACTGAACAACAAACAATGTCTATCAAATATGACTCGCATTTCTTACCAGAGCTACTTATCACGTGTCATGATAGAAAGCATTAAATTAACATCACTAAAAAGTCTAACAACAGACTACCCGACCACACTCAAAGGTTAATAACTTGATCTACAATATCAGACGACATAGCGCCTCTCACAGCAGCCTCCCCCACCACATCTCTCGGTGGAACATGTCCGGATATCATGTCCGTCAGATTCTCCCTGACCCTCCCCGCCAGGGCACTCTCCTCTGCTCCCACCTCCCACGTGGCTGGAGTAGAGGAGACTGGTGGTTTACTGAGCCGGGCCGCTTGTTCCTGGTGTAACTCCGCAAGCAACCCGCTTGTTTTTTCTAGTTTTTCTTGCAGTTCGGGGTCCTCGCAGGCTTGCTCTAGTTTGCTTTGTAGAGCTGGGTCGTTTATTATGTCGGGGATATCGTCTGATTCTAGCAGCTTCAGCAAAGATTCCTCCTCTTTGATGATGTCCTCTGGTTGGTGTTTTGGTAGTTGAGTCTGCTTATCCTCCGCAGCAGTGCCTGGTTCCTCTGTTTCAGTAGCGGATGACCCAGCAGAAACGCTAGTTGCTGATTGAGAGGGTATTTTCATGGTATTTCCTAGTCTCCTTGCTCTTAGTAGACGTTTCTCTCGGATAATCTTAGCGTACTTTTGAGCGAGGAGTTTGTTAGCCTTTACATGACCACCGGCCGTCAGACTGTTGATAATGTTATCTACTGGCTGGCGGAGAGAGTCATGACAACCCTTGGCAAACTCTTGGACACTTCGACAGTAAGCCAGACCTATCTCATCACCATAGCAACTGTAGAGGAGCTGCTGATCCTCATCATCAAGACTGCTGAACACTGAGTCGTAGCTGGGCATGAAGCTGCCAAATGGACCGTAGTGGAGGTACTGGGGCGGTTTGTTGGGTTGTCTCTTTTTTTCTCTAAAGTTGTTGAGAAGAGAGGTGGTGGTATTTTCGTGGGGTTCAAAGCAGGAGAGGTCAACAGGCTTCTCTGCCGGTTCCCCGGGCTGAGCATTCATTATATTCAGGACTACTGTGTTGGTGTCTTCATCTTTAGTCAGGTATCCTATTCTAGTTTCACTCGCCAACCTGTTTGCAGTGCAGATTTAAGATTTGTAAAAGCATTTTGAGTAAGTTCTTTGTCATTATGACGAATCAGCGATTGTCTAATATTTATATGATATATCGTGGGACCCCTTGTGATACAAAACGTAGTATTAGCAAAACAATACTTATGTAAATGGCAAGAGTATCAAAAATCTTACCTGTCAAAATTTTCCTTGGCTTCAGCAGCAACTCGTTTTACTGATCTGAAAGAAATTTAAAAATTAAAAGGTTAGCAGTAGTAATAATTCTATGTTTATTATGTGCTCCTAATATAAGAATATAAAGTTAAATCAGAGTTTGAGAGTTCGACTAAAGGACAATAAGGGAGGGAGGGAGGGAGGGAGGGAGGGAGGGAGGGAGGGAGGGAGGGAGGGAGGGAGGGAGGGAGGGAGGGAGGGAGGGAGGGAGGGAGGGAGGGAGGGAGGGAGTAACATACTTCTTAATCTCTTCAGCCATCCACTCTTCTTGTATCTCATTCTTCTTCCTGATTCCTTCCATCACCTCATTAGAGAGCGCTACTTTATTCTTCTTCTCTCCGAACAGAGTGTTGATGTAGTTCAGTAACTTCACTGCTTCCTGTAAACAAATTCAATAATCACACTGACTTGTCAACATACAAACAACACGCCGGGTCCGGCGTAAGATTTTACGGTGTGAGACTCTAACCCTAACCCTAACCCTAACCCTAACCCTAACCCTAACCCTAACCCTAACCCTAACCCTAACCCTAACCCTAACCCTAGCCTTAACCTTAACCCTAACCCTAACCCTAACCCTAACCCGCCGTAGAGTCTTACGCCGTAGAGTCCGGACCCCAACACGCCATCAATTTTATGATGTCTTGACAGAATAATCGCATCATGGAATAAATTGAATATCATTTTAAACTTCCAACCTTGTAGAATATTGTGTCATCAGAGTTATAGACCATGCAGTTTTTACACATTAAGTCCGCGTCATCTTTTAGGTCTTTCAGAACGATGTACTCCCCTCGTTGTACTTTAGCCTGAAAACCATAACATAAACTCATTATTTTCCTCTTGACCTCTTGACCTCTTAACCTCTTGACCTCTTAACCTCTTAACCTCTTAACCTCTTGACCTCTTAACCTCTTGACCTCTTGACCTCTTAACCTCTTAACCTCTTAACCTCTTAACCTCTTGACCTCTTAACCTCTTAATCTCTTGACCTCTTAACCTCTTAACCTCTTAACCTCTTATTCTCTTAACCTCTTAAGGCCAGAGGGGGGGGGGGGGTAAATGGCACTTTTCTAGTTTTTACATATTTGATAATAGCTGCTGGAGACGAACAAGAAGAAAAAAACCGGATCAAAATCTGACCTTGCGTTCCTGAGATATCGCGCGCTAAATTTTGAGGTTTACCTTACATGTTAAACTGGATCTTTAAACGGCTGTAACTTTTTTGACCCTTTTCCTTAGTTGAGAAAACCGGCCACTCCCTGATCTTGAGATTTGGTACAGTGGTTCCTTGGACAATTATCCTCATTTATTATGCAGCGATTTTTTTTATTTGACTCCGTTCTCGAATTATGAGGTTAACCATGTAAAAAATTCGGAAAATTTAGCTGGTTTAGCTAGTTAACCTCATAATTCGAGAAACGAGTCAAATAAAAAAAAACCTTCTTAACCCATTGTAACTTCCATTCAGGGTTGCTGAGCGTATTGTCGGGCCTGAAGAGCAGGAAAAAGTGAAGTGTTGTGACATAGGGTAAAGCACATAATTTTGTCATTTTTTGGCAATTTTCCGACTGCCTGATATAAACCATGGGTTTTAACCTCGTCTGAAATTCCGATTTAGATGAAACCTCCACCATGTTATAGTAGACAGTCTAGGCAAGTTCTAACACAACAATGATCGAAATTGCTGGGGTTGAAGATGTTCAAAAAAATTGTTTTGAAAAAATGACAAAATTAGGTGACTTTACTTAATTTTGTCACCCCGAACCTAATTTTGTCACTTGAAGATTGTGCAAAAAGTAACCGTTTCTCGGTATTTTAGACTGCCTGGATGCATCATTCGAGCGCTTTTTTACCAACATTGACCTCAAAAATCCCAAAGATATGATGTTTTCATAGTTTTGTAGCTTGATGAAACGATGACACTTTTTGGGTATCTAATCTTAGAAAATAGCCCCCAAATGCCCCTGAAACCACTGGCATCTTGAAAACTTTCTATGAAGCATGAATCAATATTGGTTACTGATTCACGAAACTATATTTACCAATAGCTCTTTAAAACCCAGAATTACAGTATATTTCTCGGCGAAAATATGCTATTATAAGTGTTTAAATGCTATTATAAGTGCCTTATACATATCCTATGGGCAAAAAAACTTCAGAATAGTTGTATAAGGCCATTTTCAACACAATCTGTGATTTACAAGAAATTTGAGAAAGGTCGATTTTTTTGACAAAATTAGGTACTTTTGGCAAAATCGAACCTAATTTTGTCACCCTCTGTAACTTGAACAATAATTGCGCTAGAGACTTGAAAATTTGTACGTATACTTCTGCTGTAGAAGATATTTGAAATATGCAATGGCATGAAGCTAGCTCAATTACTTTTGAAATAGCAATAAATCAAAATTTTGAAAATTCCTTAAGAAAACTTTAAGGATCTTATTTATTTTTCGGGTTAACAGTTTCGCCTTCATTTTTGACACAGATGCAAAAGAGCTAGAAACTTAAACTTTGTAGGAGCAGTTTCAGCAAAGTCTAAGCTTTCTTTTTATACACAAACCTTTTCTTTCAAGCTGAAATTCCGAGCCGAGGCAGTTTTTCAGAGCAAAATGACAAAATTAGGTACCCTGACAAAATTACGTGCCTTACCCTACTCCTAATAATAAAAAGATTTTAGGATTTTAGGAATAGGCGTCAGATGGTCAGCCGCCCTCACTTTCAAATTTCAATTGTGTTCCAATTAAATGTCTGCAACTACAATTCTGCAATGAAGAGTTGACAAAGATAATGAAATTACTATCAATCAAATAACTTGCTCATAGTAATTTTTCATCAATTAGGTTGACATTTCTATGCGAATAGACTGTTCATCATTTGCTTGCAGCAAGCAAATGAATCCTGTAGACATTTTTGAGTCAATTTTCTGACACAGTACAATTAAAGTGATGATGTTGACCACCACTGTGAATAGAGATATTCGTTTGAATCAACCTCCAAGGTTAGGGACTGTTGTAAAACAAAATAATTTCAAATCAACTTGTCGCGGCAAGTTGGTAATACCGTGATATACCTTACAAGACATTTTTGTGGCGGACCAATTTGCGACGACCGAAATTTTGGCGGTCCGAAAATATGGCGAAATTGAACAAAAACCGTCACATTTCGGACGTCACAGAAAATAAGGATATTTTCCATCATTTTGTTTTCTGACACAAAGGAAATTCAAAATTTTCTAAAAATCGGTTAAATCATGTTGAAACAAAATGAAACTTATAAATCGATTTCTTCATCTTCCTCTATACTTAAGGGGTCCGGCTCGACTCTTTCAGTTTCACGCTGTTCTCCAGTGTACTCCCAGGAGTAAGATTCTCGGATAAGCGTATTACTTGAAATTAAATTCATCATGGAATATTGTGTTTATTTGTCCCACCATCATTGATCATATCACTAACTTTTCAAGAACAAAATGAATCGATGAAGCCACAATTATTGGAATGAGCTAAAAATAATGAGACGGATTCTATTACGACGACCGAAATTTTGGCGGTCCGAAAATATGGCGAAATTTCGGGAAAACCGTCGCATTTCGTACGTTATGAAAAAGTCTTGTAAGGTATAAGCAATGGAGGTTTCAGTCAAATATATACAATGTTTTTACAATGTTTTTCGTTCTTGTCCATTATAAGGTTCAGGGCCAAAAATTATATAAAGTTATTTTAGGTGGAACCTCTATTAATATGGAATCCCACTTTTTATCCTAGTGTCTGTTTAAATGATGTTCAAAAGGACTTTCTTCGTAATTTCGACATAATTGGAAATTTGATTTTAATCATTTTGTTCATCCTCGCTCTATAGTACCTAAAGTAAGTAGTTCTTGTTTGTGTTTTTCACTTGAAAAAGCAGAAATACAGTTTTGAAGCAGAAAATCTGTGAAAAAATTTTAAGAACGAATCACACTACAAAAGATTTTAAAATTTAACCCAAGCAGCGCTGAATTCTAAAAAAGAGCACTAGTTTTCGAGACAAATATTTAACCCAAAAATCGTGAAATAAAATCAGATGGCAAATAACAATATCCCACACCGATCACATCATAAGTTCAAAAACAGTAAAAATGTCCTGATATCACAAAAATGTATCACAAAAATGATCAGTTTACTGACAAAACTCAATAGCAATCTTCAGTCTCCTAGTTTTTAGTACTGGTAGTAGAGAAGGAAGGAGAGGACAGGGAAGATGGTCGAGACGAGGGATTGACTCAGTCCAGAAGCTCCACTCCATGCGGTAGGGTACTCATCAGTGTAGTTATCGTCTCGGCAGAATGCCATAACGAGCAGAACAGCGAAGATAAGGATTGTCTTCAGGTCCATAGTTGGAGATTTATAGTGTAGATGAGTTCTTCAGGAAAATAACGAGTGAAAGTAGAGATTGGGTTAAGAGCGGAGAGGGCCCTCTTTTAATACCAAGTTTAGCACTGCACCTGGTTTGAAGTTTTCTTTTAAGGCGGTCTTTGTTTTCATGGCACATGATGCATGAGATGAATGGAGCACTCCCCCGCAGAAAGATGATAGGAGACTTAAAAGGGATTGATTACAGCAGAAACGTACCTTAGTCCTGAGAGGACCTGATCATTATCATTTCTTTCTTTACATGGTTAGGTGTTTTACAGAGCTTGATTGAGGAGCACTACCTTAGCTTTGTTTAGGACAGCCTTTGTTTTGATGGCACATGGTGAAAGAGAAGAGAGAAGAATGGTTCACTCACTCCCCGAGAGAAATATAAAGAGTATTTACAATCAAAGCTATGAAAATAAAGCGTCCAAGTCCTTAAGTCCTTCTTCACCGTTTCTGATATATTTCCTCCTCATTTTAAAAATAGATACACATCCCAAATGTTTTAGCAGTGTTTAAAGTTAAACCAGCAATCTTCCACAGCTGTATGTGCATCTCCTAAAAACCCAACCACCACAATTATAAACGCAAGAATAAAAGACATTTCAACAACCGCCATTCGAAAAGGCACGCAAAAAAAAAAAGTGTAAAATCAGTGAAGTTATAATACCAATAGCTTTACTCTCTGATTGTTATGTGGAAGCAACAGTAAATGTCCGCACGAAAATAGACAGGCTGGTTAATAAGACTGAGTGGTGTGATTCGCCTGATTGTAGCGACAAAGGAAATAACAATAGAATCCTAAGTGTTTCAAAGCGATCGACTCCACAGATTACTGCTATTGTCACAAATGTTCACTTATTCCTTGAATGATGCCGAATCTTTAATTGATTGATAAATAAATATGACACATATTGATCAAAGGAAATATACGAAATGAGAGTGGATACTGGATAGTGGATACGACTACAACACTAAAAAGTGGATACGCCTACAGAATACTGTGTCACTGTGACGTGGGTGATTTGGAATGTAGTTAGTGAGGACAAAGGAAGAGTAGATTTCAGACATGCCATCGTTATTTTCTGACATTCTATTTCAATGGCGATGACGTTGACCAGCTTTGTATTATTGTGCACGGAGATATCCGAGTGCATCATCGTAATGCGGAAGAATTTAGAAGGTTGAGCGAAAGCCGACGTAAAGAATGATCGAAAGAATTTTGAATAGAGACTAAACGCATTTTTATGCTCGAGCGACAACCGATGCAAAGAACGATCGAGATTCAATTCAAGTAATTTTGAATAAAGACACATTTTCCGTGCATGAGCGACAGCCGACACCCAGAACGATCGGTGTCTACATCTATGATGAGAAGCTGTACCGTACGTACTAATAAAATTGGTTATAAAGTA